AGAGGGGTAGGTCAACCACCAGCCAGATCACTATTAGGATTAATCATTATGAACCAGCACTAACCACTATCAATCCCACTATCATATCATTTTTCAAGATGGTTCTTGCACCACCAACCAGTGATGAATCCAAGGATTTCGGGGTCGATGCTCCGAGCAGAGCCCCCTCCCTTTTGGTCGGCCTCTAAGATCAACCACAAGCCCGTGACCACCTTGCCACGTGATGTGTGGGGCTGAGTCGAGCTGAGTTGTTGATGGCGGTGGCAATGATCCCCGAAATACGATCGATTTCTGGTTGGTGGTTTGGAACATGACCATTGTTGTCCATATATTGGGAAGAATCATCCCAACTGACTAATATTTTTCAGAGGACTGAAACCCCAACCAGACTTAGATGTTGCCATATTAGGGGGTTCCAAAGTCATGGGGGTACCGCCAAATCATCGGAAAATGGATGACCATAACTTAGTATTTGTTTCAACCATGGTGAGAAATAGGGGTACCTCCATGACTTCGGAAACCGCCATGAAGTGGGACCCCTATTTAAATGAAATGATAAATACAATAGATTATCATGTACAATAGATTATTGTCCTATATAGTCATTGTCCTTTATAAATGACTAAATACATGGACAAACCATGAATGGCCGTTCTTAACCATTCGCAACCTGGCCATAACTGGCCATAACTGGCCATAACTTGGGGGTCACCCACTTGGGCATTGTCATATTATGCCATAAACCACACTAAAGCCATGACACACCCACTCAACCCAAACCAAAGAATCAAGTATTTGGGGGATTTGGTTTATTCTTGGGTGTTGGGCTTGCTTAGTTTTCTTGCTTCGACCACACCACTTTGGACAGCAGCTCCAGGAATATCATCGTCTCATGTCTTCCGTGCGACCGCTGCTCTTCACTTTTGCACGATGTGACCTGGACGCCGATGGTGGGAAACCTTCAGGTATATCATCCTGTGGATGGGCCAGCGAAATCCGATAAACCACCAAAAGGATGGTTGAAACATGTTGATATATAGATATAGGATCAAGCATCAACTGGTGCAGGATTTCGCAACCATCCCGCAGTAGCAGGAAGTACTTTCAGGCGAGACTGTGCTGAAGTTGGCACTAAAAAGATGTTTTCCCTCGAAGAATTGCTTGCAAACGGTGCAGTTCCAGCCTTTCTGATTACGGCAAGGTATGGCTTTATGGGTGGAATTGAACAAGAAATTCATGGCTGAAGGTGAACACTCCAAGCTAGTTTTCTTGATGTCATGAGCTGAGGGTTCCAAATAACTGATACTTTTGACATCTGACCATGTGAAGAACACTCGCAACAAAAATGCTGAGTCGATACAACCAAAAAGATGTCATCCAGTCTGATCCAGTCGGGGGATGGGATGGATGACCATCAACCAGTGGAAGAAAGCCTCGAAAAGGTGCTGGTTTACCCATGTCCCATTTATCCAAAATGATTTTGTTGGGCTTGAAGAACCATCCAAAATTGGTTTATCGGATTTCGCAACCATCCACGGTGTCCTCCAGAGCTTTCACCGGTACTTCAGGTAGCGAGGCCCAAAAACGGGAGGTGGCGGCCACACGAATGCAGCTGCTCTACCGCATGAGGCACGGTAGAGGGCACGGGCAGTGCTCTACTGGGATGGGTGTGTCTAAAAATGTGGTATACCTACAAAACATCTCCATTTGTATGTTGGGATGATATGGGAGAATGGTGATTCATCTGAATTTTGGAGGTGTTTCGCGTTTTCCCCTACTTTTTTTGCAGACAAAGCTATGGTTTCCGAGATGAGGCCTCCAAACGGTAGCTAAGTTTACGCACATAACTTGGTCAATTCTAAGGTTAGCTATTGTTTATGGGGAGATATAGCCATAGTTCATGGGGGTTATAAGCCAACTTAAAACTTGGGGGGCCTCACCTTCTGCAAATCTTGCCATTCTGGGATGTGGATGGAATATATTTTGTGCCTCCCAGATATGTGAGATTGGACCCCAACTGAAACTTTGAAACCACCAACCAGCGATAAAATTGCATATACTGTAGGAAGCTGCTTGAAGGATGGCAATATTTTGATCTTTTGCCATAAATGGCTGGAACGCCCAGCTATGAAAGAAATTGATTTTAGCAGGGTATCTAAGATAGGCCGTGTATGTTGGATGGCATCGGAGTGGGCGACGTAAGGAAAAAACGGTAACAAGGGACTGCGAAATCTCGTTGCTGGACCTTAGCATTGACCAAATCCAATGTGTCAATACAATGTACAGAAGACTGTGATCCCACAAAACTGAATCATGGATTTCGATTTGATAAATCGATATCACAACAGCGACCAACAAGTGGAGTGGTAAGTGGCCCCCATTCCCATGGTCATCGTGGCTGCACATCGACTGCAGATTAGTCAGACTTCTTCGGAGTGCCTCCTGCAGGAAAGCGCGACAAGCCATGAAAGAGAAGAAGGCCGAAAGAGATGCTGGAGGCCTCAAGGATGGGCCTTGGTGTGACACAAAAATTGAGGAATCTGACCAACAAAAATTGGACGTATACACAATTATGTATATATATGATATATATATATATGTGGTATTTTTTTTATATATATATGTATAATTAAAATGATTACATGTATGTATATATATATTATATAAGCCCAAGTATTTTAGGGGCATATAAGGGTGGGATATCATTGTATATACTCGGATACCTAGCCAATACCATGAGATCATCAAATCTTCTGGCCGGATTACCAAGACCGACCTCTGGCCACCGGATGGGATTGGCGTAGCAAAAAATAAAATGACCGAACTTCTCAGCTTGGTTTCTTCAAATTCGGCCCAAATCACCATATATTCTCCTTATTCTCCTTGCCAGGCAACCCCTGCCTTTGCTTTCCCTTCTCTCACACTTGTTTACTGCTCGGTTCAATGGGGTGCTGCTGTGATGTAATTTGTGATGATCGCTGTGATGCGGGTTGGATGGTACACATTGCGGCATGGAGTGGTTTGTGATCCTCCCGGCTGAGCCTGAAATTCCAACGGAACAGTTCACTTTTATGATGGTTCCAGTATACCTTCAGCAAAAAAAACTTTGCTCATGACAAGTATGATATATGTTTATGGTGACACGTATTTCTACAAACGTGTAGGCGTTGCGATTTTCGTGGTGACCGCACATGGACATTTTTGATTGGGGGGTGGGGTGGGGGTGCGGGGGTGTAGTAACGTCCTGACGACCACGTCCTTGATATTACGTAGACAACACATGTCGAGGTAACTTGGAAGACGCTCTTGATGCTACGTTGATGACGTGGGGCGGGGTGGGGTCGGGTGAAAAAAATAACATAATAAATGTTTACACAGATGGATGTCAAAGTTTGGAAGACGGTCGTGGAGTCCGTGGTCCACATGCGTAGCGAATGGACTCGGAAGGTGCGAGTGCGTGGAAGAACGAAAGTTGCAGGAACCCAACAAATTGATCGTTGTTGGCAACATCTCAATTTTTTCCCCACCTGCCAGGTGAGGGTTGTTAGATTTTATGTCAGTTGCTTCCTCCTCGTCCTCCTCGTCCTCCTCGTCCTCGTCCTCCTCCTTCTCCTCCCTCTTCTCGTCCTCCTTCTCCTCCTCCTCCTCTCCTCTCTTCTCCTCTCCTCTCCTCGTCTCCTCTCCTCGTCTCCTCTCCTCGTCTCCTCTCCTCCTGCTCCCTGCCGGACTTCAACCACGACCATCCACGCCCAGTGTTCCCTGCCGGACCTCAACCACGACCATCCACGCCAGTGTGCCCTGCCGGACCTCAACCACGACCATCCACGCCAGTGTGCCCTGCCGGACCTCAACCACGACCATCACCGCCCAGTGTTCCCTGCCGGACCTCAACCGCGAGTATCCACGCCCAGTGTTCCCTGCCGGACCTCAACCACGACCATCCCCGCCCAGTGTTCCCTGCCGGACCTCAACCACGACCATCCACGCCCAGTGTTCCCTGCCGGACCTCAACCACGACCATCCACGCCAAGTGTTCCCTGCCGGACCTCATGTAGGAAGATAAAATGTCAGATAGAGTGCCAGAAGATTTGCCAGGTAGAATGCCAGAAAATATGCCAGAAGATATGCCAGATAGATATGCCAGAAGATATTCCAGAAGATATTCCAGATAGAATGCCAGATAGAATGCCAGATAGAATGCCAGAAGATATGTCAGAATATATGCCAGAAGATATGCCAGATAGAATGCCAGAAGATATGTCAGATAGAATGCCAGAAGATATGCCAGGTAGAATGCCAGAAGATATGCCAGATAGAATGCCAAATAGAATGTCAGAAGATATGTCAGATAGAATGCCGGAAGATGTGCCAGTAAGAACATGTATAAATGTCATGGTGGGGATCACACGAAGTAAAGTAATTTTGCCCCAGTCAAATGAAGAACCGCACTGGCCCAACAATCAATGCTAGATTCTGGGATAGAAGCTATCAATGGATATATCGCCACAACATGTCCAAGTGTGACATAGCGAGCAGATGCGAGATGACAAAAAGCCTCTGCAAACTTTTCGTCGTCTCTTGACGAAATTGCTGATTTGAAAAATGACAAAACGTGAGGCGTTTTGACACGTTCATGTCAAAAACACACGGTTGTGTAAATCCGTGCTACCATGTTTATACATATGTATGCATCTACATGTGTATACATTTATATACATAGATAGATGGATATGTATGTGTTTGCATTGGGCATGTAATAGATACATATACTGGGCATGTAATTCGCGTTTGCATTCGAATGCTGCGATGGGATAAAAACGTTTACTTTCCAGAAAGGCAGGTTGCAACGAACGGATCGTGTGCATTACATTCTGAGCCCTGTCCGCAATGCCTTGCGTTCAATGGATCTGATCATGGGCACTGTCCCTCGCATTGATGGCTACGAACAATGCGTCAGCAGATTCGCGGCAGAGTTGGCTTGGCTCACCCGCTCTCTTCATCACCGTGAACCCAGCTGACACCAAGCATCCGTTCACTTCCGCTTCAGTGCTGGCTCGTCCCAGAATGCGATCGAAGGAAAGATGTGCAGGGAACCCCCCCCAGTTTGACAGAACGCCCGGGGTTCTTGCAAAGCTTCCCTTGGACCAAGATAATGTGGTAAACTGGTAAATTCTGGTAAACCTGAACAGGGCATATGACAAATTCTACCATTTGGAGGCTTCGGTGACCATTGCAAAGTAATGATGATGACCTTCTGGTAATTTAACATCGCTATGGAAAATCCTTATTTTTAATAGGTTTATCGGTATATCATTTCTGAGTGGGCAATTTTCCATAGCTCTATACATGTGTATAAATATATATATATATATATACACACATACATACATGCATGCATGCATACATATACATACATATACATAATTAAACATATATATATACATTTATATACATATACATACATATACATATACATACATATACATATACGTATCTCTACATACATATAAATATACATATATATATATATATGTCTATATTATATACATATATATATGTATGTATAGCTATGCTAAATGACCAGAGGCTAAAAGGCAAAACGGAGATCCTCAAGGCAGTTCATCTGCAAAAGTCATCCCATTCGGATCCCATTCGAAGAAATCCGAATCACCAGTTGATAGGTGGGATGACCATCCCAGAAAATAGTCTTTCAACCATAAATCACTACTGGTTGGTGGTTTCCAATAACATCATGTAAATGCCTCCATTTTTTAGGCACCCTTAAATGAATATATCCAACACACCAGGGCTTCAGTTGGTATCTGTGATGATCTATGAGATTTTCGATGCAAGCAACTGGTTGGTGGTTTGAACCAACCCCCCTGAAAAATGATGGAGTTCGTCAGTTGGGATTATGACATTCCCAATATATGGAAAGTCATAAAATTCCATGGTTCCAGTCACCACCAACCAGATTATAGGGATGGAAGAAAGCCTCGAAAAGCTGAGAAAGGTGGAGAAAATCATGGATAAACTCTGGATGGAAGACCTGCACCAGTTGATAGACATCAGATGGTCAACATCCCATTATTTACCCTCTGGTAAACATACAAACATAGCTATTGAAAATGGCCATAGAAATACTGTAGTGGATTTACCGATATTAAAAATGGTGGATCTTTCCATAGCAAGCCGTTAGTTAATCAGAGGGTATAGGCTTTGTTTATCCCAGTGGCTTTCAACCATCATTTCGCAACCATCCACAGCAGGGCCAGTGATGATCCTAGTTTCGGATAAACGCTAGGTACCCCTTTATCGCTGGGTGGTTTATTTTATGTACAATCCCTATCTAAAATTCATGATTTAGGGGTAGCCCCATTTTAGGAAACCCCATATCACAATACACTGGATGAATGGAATGCCCCGCCAGCAATCCAGCCTGAAAAGCCGCCAGGCAATGCGATGAGGCAGGTTAGGGTGTGCAGACGATTACCAAAACGCGAAATGGTGCGTGTTTATTCATCTTTATGGGGTTCAACTATATGGTTGCTGATTGATCTTTATGGGTGTTTACTTGCTATGTGTTGATCTTTATGTGGTTTTAATACTATCAGGTTCAATGTGAAGAAAAACTCTGAACCATACCTCAGTTTGTTGTCTTGGGCGGAGTAAACATGAGGGAATTCAGGTTCAGTCTTTGCGCCACATCAAGCAAGCAGAATATAAGGGGATTTCAATCACAACTTGGCAATGACTGGTCAATATTCCCTAATATGTTTAACAAAAAACCAGTGTTGTTGGATGTTTGTACCATATGGTGACTTCTTAAAATGGGGGATCCCCAAGTCACCATGGTTGTTCAATACTAAAAATGTCATCCATGACTTGGATGATTTGCAAGTACCCCCATGACTTAGGAAACCTCCATGTAGTTCTTTATAGTATGGATATATGGTTTATCATGATATATCAAGTGAACATATCAATGAGGATTTGCAAGATCGTCATGGACTATATATAGTTTCAATAGTTTATCAATAAGCTATTATTTAAGCCATATATCAACCAATAGTTTATATCAACTAATGGTCAGCAGTTTATATGAACCAATAAGCCATGACTTTGCGCCGACCATCCAGGCCGGAAGGATCCCCAGTGACTGCCGCGGGGCTGAAGCAGGCGATGTTGATGTTGGATGTTTTTTCTGGGTATACCGGGGGACGTTGTCCCCCATAGATTTGGATTTTAAAATATGTTAAAATATGTTAACAACTATAATATGTTTTTCCCAAAAGCATCTTCGATGCTTGGGTTCTCGTTTAGTTGTTTAACCGCGTGGGGGAGCGACCTGGCTCGAACGGTGGTGTGCGGACGGCGTGGGTGCAAGGGAAAGGAAAGGAAAGGAAAGGAAAGGAAGGGAAAGGAAAGGAAAGGAAAGGAAGGGAAAGGAAGGGAAAGGAAGGGAAAGGAAGGGAAAGGAAGGGAAAGGGAGGAAGGGAC